AATGAACCTCTCTTGCTTGCAGTGTATGTAGCTCTAGCTTTATACACTTCGATAACACTGATGAGGTTTTTTAAATCTTTGACTTTCAGGATGGAAACTAAGTACCGTAGAGCCATGTTGTACTTCGTCGTGTCATTCACAAACTATCTCTCATGAACTTTTAGACGACCTAATATGTCATGTACATCTAAATCCTCAGATAATTTATGATTGTGAAACCCACACCTAACTGTCACCTTTCAACTGCTACCACTGGGCGCAAATCTCTGTCTAAAAGGGCATTTCACTTTCATATTATAAATGCCCTCTAAGGATTTACTGCTTTCAGATTTATTTTTTCTTTTATAATTTTCTCCTCTCTCACAACCCATACTCAATTTATATTTCCTACCCCGCTGGCCATTTGCAGTATCAGAACAAAAAGTCACGACTATTATACCATGTTGCTTGCCAATATTCTGTGTTCAGGCTAATACTTCAGATCGAGACTCAAATATTTGTCATTTATATCACACAAAAAGTATATTATCAATATCATATATGAGCGAGAAAATATTTAATTTAAACTTGTTACATAGAAAACATAATTTGTTTGTGGTGAAAATTTGTGTACAATCGCTACATGAATCTTTAGATGACTCTGCTGGCTCTGAACTACACAAATAAAACACTTTCTAATTTCTAATTTCTGTTCTATTACCGAAAATTTCAAATATATTTAAAATTTTCAGTATATCTAAAATTTGTAAGTTACCGAAAATTTTGACAATTTTCGGTATTGGATGCCGGATTTTTTCAAATTTCCGATATAAACGCGTGAACTTTCAAAAATGCAATAAATGACGCACTCGAAATTTCACTTTTAGATGTTCAAAAAAGTGAAAATTTTGGAAGAATAGTAAAATTTGATAGGTAAGTATTAACAAGGGTAGTTTGAAAATTTCGAAAGTTTGGGGATGTCAATTAATTAATGAATTTAATCAATTAACTCATTAAGATGGTTCATGGATTGTTTTCTTTTTTTGTCATTTTTTTTATCTATAAAGAAGGTTTTTTCTCATCTCATAACACACCAATTTTTTTACTATAAATTTTTCTAATATTCTTTCTTCAGTCTTTTACTTGTAAAGTTGTTTTTTTTTTCACTAAATGTGTCTTAGTAACAAGTGAGTGAAATTTTCCTTTTTGAGAATTGCGTAGTATTAGTGTTGTGTTTAATTGTTTTATTCAAGAGTTCAGTTCTCTTGTGGAATATCATTGTTAGAGATTTGAAGGTTGCTTGTTAAATCTTAAAAAATCTTGGATGAAGATTCTTAAGTTAAATTTGTGTAAAAGACCTAGTTGTTATTAGAAAGTTTGTGGGTTAATCTTGTAAAAAAATTCAACTTGTTAAAAAGTTTGTTGATTGATCTTGTGCAAATATTCAAGTTATTATTAAATGTTGTTTAGGATGATCTTGGAAAGCTCAAGGTTGATTTTAGTGAAAATTTCAGGGACAAATTTTTGGGGACGGGAGTAAACTAAGTGATTTAAGTCAGACCATAATATTTTTCTAGTGTGGTCTTTTTATACTTCATCTCTTTTATTTTATGTTGCCTATTTTTTTTCTCTCCTTTCTATTATTCGGGTTTAAGTTCTATGACTATTTATTTATTCTAATGTAAACATTTTCAAAGTCAAAAAAATTTATAAATTATTTTTGAATTTTAAAAATTACAATTTACCACCCCCTCTCTTGTGTTTGAAGTTACTTGATTAATAAATGATATCATATATGACCTAAACAATTTAGTAGACAATGATTTTTTACATTGTCCTCTGCCCTAATTCCTAGAGGTTACTCAAAATCCAATTCATGTCATTATATATTTACTAGCGTCCAGACGGGCACTAGTGTACCCGTCTGTCTGTTTTTTTAATGCGCATGAATGAAAATATAAATGATAATTTTTATTTAAATAGATTTTTTTTAAAATACAATATGTAGAAGTTAATAATAAGAAGTTATTAAATAAATTACGTAATAAAATAAGGGTAAAAATGGTAGAAAAATAAGTTACACGAAAACAAAGTATTCATTTTATATATTGTATAGATTAAGCATACTCATATTCATTTAGGGTTGTTTTAACCTATGTTGATATATATTAATTACAAGTAAAGATAATTCAATAATTTCTAAGATTTAAGATGAATTACCTAAAATACTTCTTAAAACTAGAAATGGAAATGTAGCACTTAGAAATCCATGAATGTAAGAGCAAATATGTCATAGATCTCCTCTTAAAAATAGGACTTCTAGATGTCCAAAGGCACTAAGTTGAGCAATTCAATTGTAACTCTCTTACATGATCCTACTCCATATAAGAAGCTCATTGGCAAATTGATTTACCTTGCCAACACAAGACTGATAAATGACATAGTGTACAACCATTGAGCCAACGTATGTTGACCCCTACAAATACTCACCATGAAGCAGCCATACATGTTCTCAAATACATCCAATTTGCACCTTTTCTAAGTATCCAACTCACTTCAAACTCCTCCATTAAACTTAAGACTTTTTGTAACAATGACAAGACAACTTGCCCTAATACAATAAGACCAGATTTTCTGTGACAATGACGAGACAACTTGCCCTAATACACTAAGATCAGTAGACTAGTACAATAAGATCAGTAGACTAGTACAATAAAATCAATAGAGGATTCTGAATATTTTCTGGACACATCTCTCATATCATAGAAATAAAATAAAATAGAAGCAATGATATATCTAAAAGCTCCTCTAAAACTGAATATAGAGTCATGATATCAACAATTTGTGAGATTAAATTGCTAACATATATGCTCCAAGACCTTAAATTGAAAAACAACTCTTGTGCATTATTGTATTGTGACAGTTAATCACCAAGACATATTGCTGCAAATTCACCATTCCATGATAGAATCAAACACATAGACCTGGGTTATCATTTGGCAAAGAAAAACTCCAATAAAATCTCTTCCAACTCCTTCCTATCACATCTTCTTAACAAATACACCTTTGATTCTCTTTTATAAGTAAATTTTTACTTTTTTAATTTATTAAATAATAAATATATTTAGACTATATATTGTCCAAAAATATTATTTATCTAATGAATTTAAAAAATTAAAATTTACTTATAAAAAAGAATAGAGAGAGTAGCCGACATTTTTACCAAAGTTCTGATCTACACCATTCCATAAGTTCATTTTCAAATTTGGCATACTCAACCTATATGTGGTCCAACTTAAGGAGGAATATCAGTCAACTTTTATGACAGTAAATTTGTTAGCTTAAGTTGTTAGGATACATTTTTGTACAATGACTCAGATATTTAAGTGCCTAGCCACCATTTGTGTACTTAACTTCTTCACAATGAATACATTCGATTCCAATTTCTGTATTCAATTCATTTAATTATCAATATAGAGTGCTAAATAATACTATAAAAAATTACAACCTTCATTTAAAAATATTTTGAACAAATTAAATAATTATAATAAAATAAATTAAACTAATTTAAACCAAAATTAAAATAATACAACATAATAACTAAAATAAAGTTCAAATAATTAATAATATCTAAGATAGATAGAATGTCAAAAATAAACAATACAACATACTTAATTAAACAACAAAAAATGAATTCGAGTTGAATTACAATAAACAAGATATAATTGACAACAACAAATAATATTAACTTAAACGACAATCAATATTGACCTGGACAACGTAAATATGTTTGAAAGAGACGACATGATGACGATGTGGTTGAAAGAAAAGCTATAACAGAATAATAAAACTTAAAAATTTGTATGGTTGTAAAAGAACACATAATTCTTTTTTGTGACTGAAAAATGTATGTTAAGTTTTGATATTAAACTTTCAAAAAAAAATTTAAAATAGTCAATTTGATGAATTTTTTTGAACTGAATTTTTTTACAAAACCGACTCCGATTCTTTGGTTTGAATGATTTTAAACAGTTCAATCCAGTTTTTTTTTATTTTACTCCAATTTTGACTCACTAGCAATTTTAAAAAATTGACCCAACTGAATTCATCTCCGATTCCCGATTCAACCGACCAATTCAGTCCGGTTTTTAAAACATTGATTTGGAGACGGAAGAAAGGAGTGTATATATAGCCTTATAATTTTATCCGAAACATGACACTATAATTGAGATAGATTAAATGGTATTAGTCCTAAAGCATTAAATTTAAATATGAACAACGTCGTGCATCATAACTCTGCTAGCGCAGAATGCAGCTATGATTTCTTGGGCATCATAACTGGCACAATCACCAACTATTCTAGGATTCAGAAAGCTGGCAAGGACAGCCAACTATTCTTCTAGGACTCGGACTGGTAAGGTCGAGGGGAGGTGCAGGCATCAGCGTCATCTTTAGCACAAGGTATGATAGTGACAGAGTTGCTCCATTGATATTCAACAGAACTTTCCTACTCCCAAACAGGTAAATGTCGCACAAAAACAAGGAATCGCAAATGAGAAAAACTGAGAACCACCTTCATTAGATGGATTCTTTTATGGAAACATATATTACAAAAAATAAATAACAAGAATCACTTGCAAAGTGGACTTTCTGAAATTATACATACTCATATACACTTAAATTGGAGTGAACAATGTGACTTAGATTACAAATGCTAACAAAGGTGTGGAAAACACAAGTGGAAGGGGGAACTGCGATCAAATATAACATGCAACTCCATCAGGAAGGCAAAGAAATGCATGAAAATGTTGAATGATGATATCCGTTGAATAACAGCACCTTCTGTTGTGAAGTGCTGTAATGACGGACAGCTTCCATCATAAACTTACACTTTGAATGAATGCACTTGAGATGAAAAGTTGCGTGCAGACTCTTAACCTGTTTCATCACATCTGACTCAAGTAATTTGCAGCGACATGGATGCAATCACAACATACTGTTAATTTGTCTTCGCAACCTTTCTACTCTGAGTCATAGAAGTCACTTGGGCATGGAGTTACGACCTCCGATTCGAGCAACTGGACCACTCGGTGCATAGTGGGTCGATCCTCAGGACTTGAGGAAACACACTGAATAGCCACAGAGAGCAAGGCATCAAGGCTCTCCACCTGCACCCCGTCACATAGTAGATCCACAATTTCCCTCGGCCTATTTTCGGTAATAAGGAAATTCAACTGCATCAACAACAAATTTTGGCATTAGAATGTGGTTCATTCCTTTTAAAAACAGCAACTAAGATTACCTCCGGTTTGTAATTGCATAATAAAAAGGAACATATACTAGATGATAAAAAGTTTCAGTCAGATATTTCACCTACTTAGAAAATACAATTAACATTCTGTCACATCAGTTCATGCTAATTGTAGTGATAGTAACCATAAGGAAGCCGGTTTTATAACGAGTTAAGGATTTAGCTCCTCTCAACTAAACTATGAGAAGCACTTAGATTACCTTCACTTTAAATGGCATAACAAGGTACACGTGTACTACAAGGTGATAACAGATTTCTACTTAAATAATATATAATTAACACTCTGTTCGTGCTAACTGTAGTGATAACCATAAGGAAGCCCATTTTATAATGGACTGACTGACATATTCTTAGGATCTGTTTGGGAGGGGGATTATGAAACAAGTGTAATTGAGTTGTTATATGATCACATATAATGGTATTCTATCAATTATTTAAGAATCTAGCCTTCCAAAATCCGTGTGTGCGTGCGTGGTGCGTGTATAATGTGTGGGCCTAAAACTAGAACAAAAGCTACTTCAGTGAGTATTTATGCTTAAAACCTAAAGCTAAAAACAGAAATTTAGTTTTTAAATAAATATAAAGGATTTAACAATATTGAGAAGAAAAAAGAAACTAATATTAATGTGCATCACATACCCAACCAACAATATTGAGACCCTTTTCAATGAATGATGCATCTGTTGGCCGCTTTCCACTAAGCACTTCGAGTGTCAACACCCCAAAACTATAAACATCCGTCTTCTCGGTTGCTCTGCCACTTTGCATATACTCTGTAGTGGAGTTTAAAGAGCTTGTTCAAACAATATGGAGTTAAAGTGTGAAACTAATAGTCTAACAAAAATCACATTTTTGTGCACCCAAAACATAATCAGCCCTTTCAATGTCACCTAATTGTGAAGCTTCTTAACATATACTATATATTGATTACTAGCAGCTACTTTACTTTAAGAAAAAATAAAATATAAAATATAAAAAAAAGTATTGTACTCGGTCATTTTCTTCATGTTCTTTTGGTTGGTTTGGCAACAGCAGCCCATTGTTTCTCTTTCAATATAAAGGCCATAAGAAAAAATACTTTAATGCTGTTGCATTTACTCTTTCAAAAGTCAATCTAGTATAACTTCACAACTTCTCAAGCACTTACCACAGATAGATATTTCATGTGGACACATTAAAACAAGAGACAAACAGATAAACATCCGTGCAGTATTAGACCACCTAGTAAGTAGTTATAGATACCCTTGACTCGACGATAACAAGAGACCTTCATTAATAGTTCAAGTGCTAAATACCATTATTTATGCATCAGACAACCATCTATAGGGTGAATATCATCATTGCTTACCTGGAGCTAGGTAACCGAATGTTCCAGCAACAATAGTAGTGATGTGAGATTCTTCATCTTCCAGAAGTTTGGCAAGTCCAAAATCAGAAACCCGAGCATCCAATTTTCCATCGAGTAAAATGTTGCTTGACTTTATGTCTCGGTGTATGATCCTAGGTGAACAATCATGGTGTAAGTACGCAAGCCCTTTTGCAGCTCCCATGATTATATTCAATCGTGAATCCCAGTCTAGTTGCTCAGATCTTTCTGTGCAGTGCATCACAAACATCATTATTCCCCGAAAAAATATTTAAGCAGATGTACTGTACTAGTTTTATTGTTACTTGAATTTGTATCGATTAATGCAGAATAAATCAAAATGCCATACTTAACAATCTAATAACTAAAGCATGATAGCATCAGAAGTCAGAACCCAGACAATACTATATCCTAATCTTGACACATCACATCCAAAAAGCATCAAATATTTATATGCTCGGGTGCTACGGCAAATGTTCATTAATAGATGCAGTTAATGCACACAAAATAATCATAGATATTTTTTAGGAGACCTATTTTGAGAGAGTTATTAAGGGTTCCTAATCAGGAGTTTGGTTTGATATAAGAAGCAAATAATGATTACCAATTCTAAGCATTTGATTCTCTAATCACTACATGCCCTCCCTACTAATACAGATTTAGCTGCTTCATATATTATATGATGATGGAAATATATATTGCAAGTATTCAAATAAATATCATACCATGAAGAACTTCATCCAGACTACCACCAGGTAGGTAGTCATATATTAACAACTTTGAGGTAGGTGAGTTGCAATATCCACGTAAGTTCACTAAATAACGGTGTTTGATGCTACCAAGAATTGCAAGCTCCCTCTCAAAAAATCGATCAAAGCCCTCGTTCATCTTTACAATCCTTTTCAATGCAAATACATTCCCATCATCCATTGCAAGCTTGTAAACAGTTCCAAATCCCCCTACTCCTATTATGTGTTCCTCATTCAAAGTCTCTAGTTTCTTGATAACGTCTTTCGAAGAATATGGTAGGTCTCCATGAAACATCACAATCGATGCACCTACAAGACATTATTTGGAGATATTAATTTTCAAGGGTGTTAGAACATAAAGATATATTATTATTATATTCTAACAATGTTTTTCGATGCATAAAATAGAAAAAGCTAGCTAAAACAGGCCCATGCCATGAGCAAGCAACAGAAAGATAAGGAGCATACCTGGACCAACATCCACAGCAAGACTAACTCTATCATTTTTACCAAACTTCTTATATAGAAAACAACCCCAGAAGCACATAAGTGCCACCAAAAGTAGTGCGCCCACAGTTGCTGATGCACTGATGAGAAGTCGGCCAGAATATTTCTTCTTTACATTTTGATTTTGGTCTATAAGGAGAGAAACAATAGAAGTTAACATGGAATTGATGACAACGTGATCTAAGTGACTACTACAATTAAAACATAGTTTGGAAAACAAAAAGCTATTGAAGTCCAAACAGGGATGTACACCAACATAACCTTTATCAGTTTTTACAGAATTAACCTATACTTCAACTTTAAACTTCATTTTTCTGTCGATCGATTTAGAAGGATAATTTATCTTTCTTAAATCTTCTAACGCACTAGTAAAATTTCTTCCTTTTATCAAATTAGTCACACATAATATATGTAATAAATAGGTCCAGGACAGTTGACTCTACCTTATACTCATTCGGAAGACAACACAGGTCAGGGTATAGGTATTACTAAACAGCCTCATGGTACCACTGTTACACCCTCAGAAAAGAAAGGCTTTAGCTTCATTTTATTAGAAAAGAATATGGGCCCAGGATAGAGATATTATTAGTTTCCTAAAAGAAAGGCTTTAGCTTCATTTTATTAGAAAAGATTATAGGTCCAGGATAGAGATATTACTAAAATGCCTCAGGGTACCATCATTACACCCTTGAAAAGAAAAGTTTCGTCTAAAATTAAGTATAGACCTTCATATGGCTTTCTAAAGGCGATTGAGGAGTCAAATTATCACCTTTTCTCAACAAAACAAAAAAATCCATAATAATAGAGCCGAAAAGTCAAATGTTTCAGTAAAAGTATTTTATATGAAAAGGCAAAACATCAAAAAACAAAAAAATCCATAATAATAGAGCCGAAAACTCAAATGTTTCAGTAAAAGTATTTTATATGAAAAGACAAAACATCAATAAACAAAAAACAGAAACAAAGAAAGAGAGCATGCTTGGTATGAGGAGAAATGAAAGATAAAGAAAAACACACGGTTCTACCTGAAGATTTTTCCCCAGGCGAACCATCATCTTTACATGTTGAATCAATTTGTACTCCACACAAACCTCGGTTTCCAACAAACCTGCAACATGACATATTTACATGTTAATTAAGTGACCCATTTGTGAAAATATTGTCCCAAATAAGTGACCCTTTCAATTTTCAATGCAATATTAATTTCTCATTTCAAATTGTGCCCTTAATTAATACTACTTTCAACACTCCTAAATCAATATCTTACACTTTGCATTTATGGTAACGGTGAATACATCAATTGCTTGATCAGGGTAATTTAGTAAAAGAATTATTCTCTATATTTCATTTATATATTTTTTGTAATCTATGTGAAATGTTCAAATGAGTCACTTACTAATTTCTGCCGACAAATAGCTACATGCATGATTTTAATACGTATTCCAGAAATCACATGAAATTAGAATATCTACAATTCATGATCCAATCTCAATCACATTTTCCTTGATCTTCAATTTTTTATTTTCATTAAGTATATCTATTCAGTCATCTGAGTAGCAGATCCAAAATAATTAATAATTACAATATACCTTTGGCATGCAGTCCATCTATTGTTTGAAACTATCTTACATGCTGATCAAAAACTTGAGAAATGCAATTACTCTCTAACAAATCATGATTGTGATTTCCTTAATTACTTTCAAATGATTTCTATCAATCTATCCAATTTATCATAATTACTTATATTACTATTTATCTATTTACACTCCAGGCTAATTTTTACTCTGATCTTTATTTAAGCACCAAACCTCTTCATTCATCTGAAAATAAGATCAAAATACAAGGTCATCAAATCATTCTAGCAGCTAATATTCCCATGAGAAAACAAATAAATGGTTTTTAAAATTTAATTTGTGACTAGTAAGCTAAAAATGAACTCCCTCCATCCCATTTTGTTTGACATTTAAGATTATGGCACAAGAATTAAGAAATACAATTAATATTTTAGATTTCATAAAAAACATTATATAATTTTCTAACTCTAAATATGTATCTTTTATCTCCCGCATTAATTAGGTTCTCAATCAATTACTCCACAACAACTACTACCACTAGGTCAAAGGTATAGTAGGAAAAGAATATTTAATACTTCATTGATATTGTAAAATAACATTCAAAATAAGACAGATATTTTGTTAAAACGTCAAACAAAATGGGACTGAGGGAGTAATACAAATTTTAAATACTAATATAAATACTACTAATGAAAATTGTACACACAAATAAAAGTGCGACTTAATAATATTGTGGAGTGTGAATAAACTAATTTTAACATGTTTATTTTAAACTCAACGGTAGTCAAAAAAATATGCAAGTGTTATTTAGGGGATTACAATTATGGGTTGTTTATTTGTAGTGTTGAATAAGTATTTAAGAGTATAATATCCCAGCCAAAAAAAAAACCTATACATCGTAAAAGTCTATGCAGAACAAATAGTCATATTCCTGGCAGCACTTAATAAGCAGAAATCAATAAACAAAAAGTCACACTTACGAGCTTTCTGTAAAGTGGGCTAGGACACCATCAGAAGGTATTGGTCCGACCAGAAAATTGGTTGATACATTGCTGCAAAGTATCCAACATTTAAAAATAATATTTAAAAAGTAGAAAATTAATAAAAATGGGTGTAGGGAAAGAACAATCATAGCAGAAAAGAAGTCTACATACAACTTTTTTAGATTATATAACTTTGCAATTGATACTGGAATATTCCCTCCAAGGGAATTGCTTGATATATCCCTGAAATATAGAGGACGTGTTGATGTTGATGAATATAACCTCAGTAAACACCAGAACCACCAAACTCATTTTTACTAAAGGAAGACTGTTAACTATCTCATATACCCACAACTCACTAAATTCAATGACATGTGTGTATTCCCACAACTCATGCATAAATACAAGACAAAATATCTCATATAATAATTTTTCTTTCCTCCTTTTCTCTTTGCCATTTATTTCTTGAAATGAGAACAGAATGAGCCCATGCTACATTATTTACTGTTTGACCCGGAAACAAATAAGTAAATATAAATATAAGTATAAACTGAAATAGGAACTCACAAATTTTGGAGCTGCGAGAGATTTCCTATTTCACTTGGAATTATTCCACTAAGGTAATTACCCTGTAAGAAGCTGGACAACCCAAATTAACAGTTATTGCCAAGTAGTGATATAGAAAAAATGCATTTGCCCAAATTTAAACAACATAAAGAACAAGATCTAGTAGTTATAATGAAAAACTTCCTTGATGAAAGCAAAGTCATACAAGACAAACTATTTCAAACATAATGTTCAAAGTTAATATGAAGAGTATCAGAACACACACTGTACATGGCTGTCCAGTATGTGCAATAGATGGAACATAAATGTAATAAGCAATTTGAAATGTACATGCATAATATTGAAGCTAACAAATATGATATTTGATTGTTAAAATGCATTATCCTAATACCATTTATAAACCAAGATAATCGCAGATAACTTTCCATGGTAAATAGAAAAACAGACAAAAAAATGGAACAGAACAAGGCAAGTAGACCAAAGTTAATACATACATTCCCTGCAATTCCGTGCAATTTCCCAATTCTGGTGGAATTATCCCATAAAGGTTGTTGTTATGAAGAGCACTACAGCAGATACATTAACATTGTAATTACATAGGAAATCATGTGATAGTATGTATCTAATAATTAAAAGAAAAGATACATGTAATCAAAATTTTAAAAACACATACAGAACTTTCAGGTGATCTAACTTTCCAAGGTCAGGTGATAACGACCCACTTAACTTATGGTGTGATAGAATCCTACAATATAACCAATGAAAGATAAGTTAGATAAGAATTCTATATATAATTGCCAGCGAGTCTCCTGTTATATCTTGATATAAAATACTTTTTCTTCAGAAGTCTTGTAAACCGAAGTATTATTGCAGATGCAATATTTCAACTTACAACTATATTTACATATAGAAAAAAGTTATATCTATCCTGCATTAATGAATACACTAGTCCAACACAAAACCCATAAAAGAAAAGAGGGAAACACTAAAACCGAGATTTCAAAAATGGTGGACTCCAGGGTGAAAGAAATTTGAACTCTGTCAGAATGTTATTAAACTATCATAGACTAGAAGAGTGAAAAAATGAGAAGCAAAATTGTACTATGTTAAATTTACAATCAGTACTAGCACCAAAAATTAGTTAACACTTGTTTACAGAACTTTAAGTCAAATCAGAACTTAGATGTTCCAGGCATAGCTGAAAACATTCCTGTGAAGCTTTCACTAAACTATGCTTTGTCTCACTTATATACAAGACTGCCGTGATATAATTCATCTACCCACAACATAATACATTTAATAAACTACACCAGCCAATCAAAACAAGATGACGTATGAAATGCTTTCATCTCACAAATAAGGAGTCTTACAGCAAGGGAATGACAAGAAATGTCAAGTGTATATAAACTCACAGATGTGTCACTCTCTTGGTTTTTGGATCACATTTCACTCCTTTCCATTTACATGGGTCAGGATCCTCAGGCCTCCACTGTAACAGGATACCATCAGAGCTAATAATTGTTGTCCTGAAGCTGACAAGTGCCTCGCCTATAAATGTGAGAGAATATAACAATCAATATGATTATGCAAGAGAAACGAAGTCTAGCTCATGAAATTAGTTAGATGATATTTTAAACAATGTCCCATGTGAGAACAAACACAAATAAGAATGATGTTACTATAACTCCCGATGTTTTTACTTTTTTCAACACATTCGTTATAGAGGCATAACCAAAAAATAAAAATTGTATTCTAGTTAACAATAACTTCAGTCAAACCCAGTACGTCAGAAATATATATTTTATACGTGTGAAAGGTGTTCATAATAAAAAAAGAACATCAGTAATGCATAAATATGAAATGTCACCAAAACAGAATCAGACTTATATCCTAAATCAGTAATCATACCATCAGGACTGATCGCTTCAATGTTATTAATTACAATTACAATATGTATCAGCAAAACATACAGAAGCCACAGCCATTGGCCTTTTAACAGACAAATGCCCATAGCAACAATGTTGAAGAATAGTAGAGCTAGTGAAATTCATCAGAGACAAAGGTGTTTGAAATGTCTCTCTCCACCATGTAGTTATCTGGTCGGTATATACATCAGCAGTGCAGATGATCGTAGACACTGCCTGCAACATCAAATCAACTAAACTGAAATTAAACCATACAAGAATCACCATTATGACAAATTTATCAGAGAGCTACATGGAATGACACTTAGGTCAGTCTGGATTGACTTATTTGAGCCAATCCATGAACTTACACATGTGAAACTGTTTGGAAGAGTTCAATGAAACAGCTTATGACATGTCCATAAGTTATTTTCAGCTTATCTCCATAAGCTTTCCATAATTGCTTATAAAAACAACTTATAACCTATATGATACCAGGTTGACTACATTTTATCTTTTGTCCGTAAGTTATTTATTTTCAGCTTATTTCCAAAAGCTCTCCATAATAGCTTCATAATAGCTTATGAAAACAACTTATAACTAATATGATAACAGGTTGACTTTATTTTATCTTTTCTTCATAAGTTATTTTCAGCTTATTTCCATAAGCTCTCCATAATAACTTACAAAAACAACTTATAGCTTATATGATATCAGATTGACTTAATTTTATCTTTTGTCTATAAGCAATTTTGTTATACAGTTGCTTATCCAATCAAAGCCTTAAAAACACTTACATCAGTTAACTGTTACACACTAAACCAGTAACCTACCAATTAAATGAAAACACGAGAATACTTGAATATATGGAAGTCCAAGTCAATGACTACGATTAGAATACATAATCAACCATTCTCTATGAACTAATCTCCAAGATTTCCATCTATACAACACTTATTTCCAAAATTTTCAGCTCAAACGCAAAAGCACTTTTTACCTAACGCAAAAGCACTTTTTAATTGAAAAGCTATTTTAAGCTATCTTAAGCTAATCCAAACTGAACCTATGTAAACTAGCATAAGAGCTTCACAATTGACATCACGTATACTGTAAATAAGCTCAGCATTTCAAATCAAATCAAGGTAAAGTAATCATCAACTTCAATTATAGCAAAATCGAAGAAGCACATAGAGAGATAGAGAAGAGAGAGAGAGAGAGTGTGTGTGAACACGAACTCACCTTGATTTCGATCTGAGATTCGAGAAAGTGAAAGAGAAATGCAAGTTGAGGCGTAAAAAGGAATAACAGGCAAAAGACGTTAAAACCACCGTTATCACAAGTCTCACACACACCCAGTGCTTCGTTGTGTATGAGATTTGTGTGATTCCAAACAGTGAGTGCGAGTGTGTGAGTTTGAGTGTGAGCGTGTGTGAACTTGGAAGTGAGAATAAGTTACTTTTTTGGGAATTAAAGTGGAACCTATGAGATTAATTAAGAGCTAAGCTGTTTGGTACGTGACAACACGGACACAACGCACGTGCAACCGACGTCTTTCAATCCCGTTACAGCTCACACTACTCATCAACTTGACGCCTGTAGCGTACACTACAAAAACACTTCCTCTCTCGTTGCTTTATTTATGGAGTTTTTATATACTTCTCTATTTATTTATTCGGTCATTTTTACCCTTTTTGTTTGTTGTTATTATCCATCAAATTTAGTGGAATTTAATCATGCTAGAGAAAAATCATCGCTGGATTATTCTATTCAATAAATCAGAAACGGGTGATAAAAAAATGACAATAATATTTAATTATTATTTTATTTTCATTTCAATCACCAGTAAATTTAGGTTTGGTTTGGTTTAATTTACAAAAATGGATAATGTTATCCAGCTGAAATGTTTAAAAAGAATTGTTAGTAATGTGCAATTTATGGTGTCGTTAAAGGAAACCTAACAATGCCATTTTGGTATTAAGAATAATGAATTCACGCATATCATTAAGATTAAGAATGTGATAGTTTTTAATGCAAGCTCAATTCACCTATCATTAAAAACATAGCAGTAATTGTCGATAGGCGTAGGCTCTGTAAAAAACAGCATAAATGAAGTGATTTTTTTTATTTATTTTAATTAAGTTTCTTTCAAATTTCTAGTAAGTCAAAAACAAAAATTAATAAGCTGGGCATATTTAATTTAAATGTAATATTTTTCTGCTATTTTAAACATGATCTTAAAAAAATTATTATTCAAATATTATTTTAACACTTTTTAGTTTTAAATTTATAATATTTTTTTGAAGTTTGATTACACATAAATACAAATTAAATTGTTGGTAGTAAATATTTATGGGCTCTAATTTTAATCTATTAAACACATAAGTTTTAAATTTTAGATTTTGTTTGAGAGTTTGAAAGGTAAGGGAGATGATGACTTTGAAAAAAAGAAAGTATTGAGTGAAAAACAATAGAATGATTGAGATATTGAGGATTTTAGAGGGTTTCTATTTATTTAGAAATCAAAATCTCTCTAATTTGAGAAATTAGGGATATAAGATGAAATTTTTTTAAAGTTTTTGAGGACTTATACAAATTATTTAAATAGAATTTATGTCATTATAATATTTAAAAATTAAAAATATTAATGATAAGCATTTTTTTATTATTTTATTAAAAAATATTTTAAAATTTTATAATTATAAAAAAAACAACTTTTTGAAAGTTCTCTTTTTTCCTCCCTCCAAATTATCAAATAAAAGGGAGAGCTTAGGGGAGGGAGTTTGTAGATAAATTTTTAACAATTTTTTGAAATTGTTATTTTGTTTAGAATAATAAGTAAAAGTGTATTATTCCTATAATTTTAATTTTCAAAATATTATAAAAACATAAATTATATTTTAAGAATTTAGGTGAATCCTATAAAATCTTTAAAAAAAAATTTTAATATAAATTGAGTTTTGCAAATTAGAAAGATTTTGCGTATGAATAAAAATAAACTCTCAAAAATTCTCTCAACCAAAAATCTTCAATTATTTCCACTATATTCTTCTTTTTTTCAAAATTCTTCCATCGCAATTCCTCCAACCCCCCAAACAAAGGCTAAAAGAAATATGATATAACAAATTTATCGTAACTTGTTTCAATACAAAACAATAAAGTATAATAACTTTCATCAAGGCAGGAGGGAAAACTCTATTAGGGTTTCTTTCCCCTATCAAAAATGTAACACCCATTTTAATTATTTAGTCATTTTATTATTATTTTAAATATTATATGTTGATGTGCCATTTGGTAGGGTGTATTTGATGATGTTTGGTGGGTGTCCCTGAGATGGGAGGATCATTGGTGGTAATTTGGTGAGTTTATAATAATATAAGAAATAATAGTAATATTGGTGGTGGTATTAATATTATTATTATTATTATTATTATTATTATTATTATTATTATATTTATGAGTATTATTAATATTTGTAGTAATATTATTAATATGGAGAATATAATATTATTATTAATATAGTTATTATATTATTATGATTTTTGGTGTGAATATGATAATATAATGAATAATAGTAATATAATGAATAATAGTAATATTGGTGGAGGTATTATTATTATATATTATTATATTTATTAGTATTATTAATATTATTATTATTTTGGTGAGATAATAATATTATTACTATTATTATTATTATTATTATTATTTTGGTGAGATAATAATAATATTATTATTATTATTATTTTGATTAGTATTATTAATATTAGTAATATTATATTAGTATTATTAATATTAAGATTATTATTATTCATATTATTTTATTATTAGTATTAATATAATTGTTATTATTATCATTAGTATTATTATTATTATAATTATAATTATTGTTGGGTGTATTACTATTATTATTATTATGTTGAATATTACTATAATATTATAATAGTATTATATTATATTATTATTATTATTATTATAATGATTATTATAATTATTATATTAGAATTATTATTGGGAATATTAGTGGTTGAAATAAGTAAAATAAGAGGTGGAAGGGTTATTGGGAAGTTAGAATGGAAATATGAAAAGTCATGATAGAAACCGTGAGGAAGGAAATATGAAGGGGTAGCAAGGAGATATTAGAAAAGTTGGAATAGAGAGAAAAGGGATTACCATAGATCGTGGGAAATTGGTGTGATAATAATAATAATAATAATAATAATAATAATAATATTATTATTATTATTATTATTATTATTATTATTATTACTATTATTATTATTATTATTATTATTACTATTATTATTATTATTATTATTATTATTATGTTATTTTTATTAGTTATTATTATTATTATTATTATATTATTTTTATTAGTTATTATTATTATTGGGATAGGAAATAAAAAGGAAAATAGAATATGAAGGGGTGGGGGAAGTATTAGAGAAAATAACACGATAGAAAGAGGGAAGACAGAAAGAGCTATAGAAAGAGAGAAGAGGAAAGAACGAGAGAAGTGAGAAGAACGAAGGAAAAAGGGAACGAAGAACGGAAAGAAAAGAGGAGGCCAAGAGACCAAATCCAGGAAGAATTTCATCGATCAACCGATTAACAAGGTAAGGGGGGAGAAATTTGATTGGGAATGGTTTATACATGTATAGGGTAGAGGGGATTCCTTAACCCCGTAGGAATTTATCGTTATATAAAGTTTTATATTGGCATGCTATGATTATTGTTGATGTTGGGGGATTGATGAATGTTGATGATGCATTTTGGGGTATATATATATATATGGTGATGATAGTAACTGTAATGTTGAGCCATTTTGTTGGATTGTTGATGTTACTGTAGTATTGATCCATTTTGTTGGATTGTTGATGTTACTGTAGTGTTGATAGTAACTAGGAATATAAAGCTGATGAGATTATGTGTTGTTACCGTAGTGTTGGCAATGACCATGATTATAACTTTGGGAAAGTTATGTGTTGTTTCCCTATAGTGTCGTTAATGACTATGGTTAGGACCTTGGTGAGATTCAGAGTGACTCTGAAGTGTCGGTAATGTACCGTAATGTCGGTTCTAGAGTAGAAATTATAGGATAATTGGTAAG